CCCTGAGAGTAGCTAATTTTAAAGCCATTATGGCTAGATATCAGGTTTTGTTATGGGAGCAATTAACCCCCTTTCTGAGTAGCTTACCTGATAATAAGAGAGAACAGGCCAAACAGGTGCAAACTGAGGGCGCTCGTCTAGCCAGACAGGAGCACAATGCATCTAGGCACTCTGCAGACTCAGCGAGCAAAGTAATTACATCAGCCATTGTTCTCCGCAGACACTCTTGGTTGCGTACCTCTGCCTTACCACTAGATACAAGATCTTTCATTGAGGATTTACCTTTCGAGGGGAAACTCCTCTTTAGCGAACAAACAGATGAGGTACTGGAGTAAGTGAGGAAAACAAAATTCACCACTAAATCGCTGGGATTAAGTTCACAACAACAGACCAAGGTATTTTCCCAGACACTTCCAGCAACCTAATGCTGGTAGGGGGTATCGATTTCAAACCACTCCTTCTCAGCCCTTTCAGGGTGCATTTAATCAACCGTACCCACCTAGGCATCAGCAGACAACGGGGTATGCAGTCTCATTCCCCTAGGGGAGGTTACTCCCGGCCTAGGAACCCACAATGAGTTGTTCCCCCTCTCTTCAGGGCCCGTCTAGTTCAGTTCTATCATCGTTGGTCTGAATATAATAAAGGTTGGATATTTTCTTGAATTCAAATACAGCCCCCCCTGTGTCCTTTGATGTCTCTACCTCGCATCATCAAGATGAAGCTTTGACCAATGAGATTCAAGCTCTGTTAATTAAGGGTGCCCTAGAAGTAGTCCCTGATGATGAGAGGGACTTTGGATTTTATTCTAATTACTTCCTCATGAAAAAAGGGGGGGTGGTCTTAGACCCATCTTGGACTTGAGAGAGTTGAATGATTATCTACACGTACGACGATTCCATATGCTGTCATTAGATGAGATTTACCACACGATTGCCCCTAATTCATAGTTTGCTGTCCTAGATCTCAAGGACGCGTATTTTCATATATCTATCCATGACGACTGTAAGAGGTATCTTAGATTTAGATTCAAAGGTACTGCTTACCAATACTGTGTATTACCATTTGGGTTAGCAACAGCGCCCAGAATGTTTACAAAGTGTTTCTCTGCAGTGGTAGCATATCTTAGACTACACGGATGTGTCTATGCGTATATCGATTACTGGTTATTGGTGTCAGAATCCAGGGATCTCCTCCTATCCCAGATTCATTTCACGGTTCAGACTCTACAGTGGTTGGGAGTTGTAATTAACTTTACTAAATCTAAACTCATGCCTGCTCAGTCTATGCTGTTCATAGGAGCGAGGTTGGACTCAGTAGCTCACAGAGCATTCTTACCCGTCAAGAGGATCAGAGCTATCCAATCCCTGGTTAGGAGAGTTCTTCACAATAGGTGTCAGAGGGCCCTACACATACAAAAACTTCCCGGCCTTATGGCATCCACGACAGCCACAGTCCATTATGCCCGCCTATGCATGCGACCTTTGCAGAATTGGTTTCTACAGAACTTCATATCAGGTTCAAACTCCCAATGGCAGTTCTTATCTATTCCCCGACCAATCCTTAGGACCCTTAATTGGTGGGCGGAGGAATGCAACCTTTCGCATGGTTTTCCTTTAGCACCCGTAGTAACTGATATCCAGGTATTCACAGACACATCATTGGAGGAATGGGGAGCACACTGTGGGACAAGAAAATTGAGTGGCCAATGGTCACGTTATGTATCTACGTTGCACATCAATAGACTCGAACTTAGAGCAGTGAGATACGCCCTTCTCTCTCTTGCAGACTTGACAGCTGGAAAGACTATCCTACTAGCTACGGACAATACTGCTTCGAAATTTTACATCAACAAGCAGGGTGGTACTGGCTCCCTTACACTATGCAAAGAAGTCTCCATCATTTGGGAAATGATGATTCAGCAAGGATCTCATCTCATAGCCATACACGTTCCGGGCCAGCACAACACACTAGCAGATATACTTAGCAGAAGGTCTCTCATGGCTCACGAATGGTCCATTCCTCTCAGATATCTAGAACCTATTTTTCGAGTGTGGGGAAGTCCAAACATAGATCTGTGTGCCTCAAGCGCAAACACACAGTGTCCTCTATTTTGCACAAGGTCACAAAAGCAGGGAAATTGTCTAGGGGATGCCTTCCTCCTAAAATGGTCCGGCAATCTCTTCTACGCCTTCCCACCCTTTCCCCTATTACCGAGGGTGTTAGCAAAGCTATCCCAAGGCGGGACCACATGCATCCTAATAGCCCCTCTGTGGCCTCAACGGCCTTGGTTTCCATTCCTACATGCCCTAGCCCAACACAGAGTCTGCCCACTACCACAGGTACCAGATTTACTTCAGATAGAGCAGATACGTCATCCAGAGATCCAAACGCTGTCCCTACACGCATGGTTCATTTCACCATGAACAAATGTTCAGACCGTGTAGCGGAAATCCTACTAGCGTCATGGCAACCCTCGACCTGGAAGTCCTACAGAGCCAAATGGCACAGGGTCACTGTTTGGGCACAAGAACGCAGGATACGCCCTGAATCTTGTCCTCTAATGGAAATACTCGAATACCTTCTAACGTTAATAGATGAGGGTCTGTCAACTTCGTCTATTAAAGTACATTTTGCAGCCAGATCAGCTTTTCATTTGGGGATTGAATCGAAACCCATATTCTCCAATGCGGTATCAAAACGCTTCCTAAAGGGACTGTACAATAAATTCCCGACAGTAGCACAACCCCTCCCTCAGTGGAGTTTTCGGTGGTGTTAGCCCATCTAATGTGGGCTCCTTTTGAACCACTAGCTAGTTGTCCCTTGTCTTTTTTATCATATAAGGTCACCTTCTTAGTGGCGATTACTTCAGCTCGCAGAGTTGGGGAATTGCAAGCTCTTCGATGCGATCCGCCATTCTTAAAATTTCACCCAGATAAGGTGGTCCTAAGGCCTAGCTTAGAATTCCGCCCAAAGATACTGACCACTTTCCACATCTCGCAGGAATTCTCCCTGTATTTTTTCCCAATCCAGCCTCAGTTCCAGACAGAGAGTTACACACTTTGGATTTAAGGAGGACTTTATTGTTTTATTTACAACGCACATCCCTGTTCAGACACACTGTTCAATTATTTGTCTCTTTTTCTGGACCCAAGAAGGGTCGATCTGCCTCCTCACAATCCATTTCCAGATGGGTGACCACAGCCATTCGCACTAACTACGACTCAGCAGGTTTAATGTGCCCATTTCCAATTCGGGCTCATTCCACAAAAGCCCAAACCGCTTCAGCTGCTTTCTGTGCATCAGTGAATGTGGTCGTCACCGTTGACATTCATAAAGCACTATTCGATTGATGTTAATTCTCGAGCTGATGCTTCTGTAGGTACTGCAGTGTTACAGTCGTTGTTCAAATAAAGCATTTCGCCCACACCCGCCTCCGATTCGTGTGTAGCTCGCTAATCTCCCATGTGGGACTGCACAGAAGACACAATGATGAAAACATGGTTGCACTTACCTGTAACTGATGTTCATCGAGTGTCTTCTGTGCTGGCACATATCCCTCCCTCCTTCCCCGCTGTGGGCGAGTAGTCCAATTTCCCACGGCGGCAGGTTAGGACTGAGAGAGAGGTGCCTCCCCCTCCCCTCATCACGTGATCAAATGGGCGAGGAAACACTTTGCAATTTCTCTGTGAGGGGAGGGAGACTCAATACTCTTTAGACTATTGGGAAGCTCTTGGAATGTTCTTCCACGGCAGGCGTGCCTCTAGCACGTCCCCTCTGTGCCAGCACAGAAGACACTCGATGAACATCAGTTACAGGTAAGTGCAACCATGTTTTTTTGACTGACCTTTCCCTAGAAGATATTTCCCTTTTCCTTGGCCTGCATGGGAGTCTCTGTACACTTCCCAAACCAACTAGCCACTTTCGCCCAGTTCTCCTGTCTGTGTTAAACTGAACTATAAACTGAAACTGTCTGTGTTAAACCGCTCTCAGCTAAGGCTGAAATCAAGGCAGAATTCTGACTTCCTCCAGTCAAGGCACAAATCTGACTCTCCTCAGCATCCAGCTCTCTCAAGACTGTCTTTGCTCAGCTGATGCTGTCCAATCAGATTGCTCAGAGCAGCCTGTCACTCTAGGCTCTCCTGCTCTGTGAAGAATTAATCCTTCAAAGTCCTTTACTCTGTTTGTACAGTACTTTGAGGCTTTTTAAAAGGTGCAGGTCGTCACAACACGTTATATTGTTCTGTAGTGCAGCCCCCATTTATTTTTGTGAAAAATGAGAGAACCTCCTAGTGGATTTCCCCTCTTGTGTCTAAAATAAGAGTAATAAACTATTTGCTGAAGTGAGATATTGTAAAGTACTTTTTATATGGAAGGCATCAGTTCTTCCAAGAAGATGTGGAGAAGTACAAATGGGGCATCGTCTGGTTTCCCATAAGGGAGGGGTGCCTTCTTTATGTTGGTACAAATGGGGCATCGTCTGGTTTCCCACAAGGCATTTGCACATTCACCTTCACTTTTTCTTCCACCAAATTTCTAGCTCTCTTGCCGCAAAGAACAAACACTCCCGTAGCTTCTGTGACACATGGATATATAGATTGTTTTTCTTTCACACTGTCAGCTGTGCCCTGCAATAAGGGTAGGTCAATACACTTATGTTGTCATCTGTTTGGAAACAATCCCTGCTGGAAAAGCTAGATGAGCTGCTGTAGTACTAAGCAATAACTGATGACAGTTTATGCTCCTGTTCCTTAACCCATTGCAAATTTTAGTCATATCTGTCAGCAGGACATCAGAGTCAAAAAGAGATGTACTTACTGGGGTTTCTAGACTGCAGTTTTTGAGGTATTCAAACTGCCCTGAAGGATGGAGTCAAAAAAATTAATAAAATAGAATTAAATTAAGGGAGCGAGTTAAGCACTGAAATGTGTTTTGAGGAGCCAGCCTACCAACAGAATATTTTTAACATTCTCCGTTAACCTCTTTTTTCTTCTGTTCTGCAGGTTAGAAATCTCTGTTACATGGTGACAAGGCGAGAGAAAATGAAGCACTCCATTTGCAAACTCCAGGAACAGATCTTCCATCTACAGATGAAACTTATTGAGAAAGATCTTTACCCAGGTAACTGCACCTTGCTGAGGCTTAGAAAGGCCGCTTTTACAAATGTGTTTATTTGCATTGTATCAGAACTAACAGAGGACCTAATTGATGTTGTTGCTATTTTTTTGGAAATTTAGTTTATTTTTAATAGCCTCTGAAAATGGAGGCCTAGGCAGGAGCCAGCCTTTAGAATCTCTTGTCTCCAAGGCCCTCTGGATTTCATAAGAAAGGTGTTCTTCTGTGGATAACTATCTCTGAGCTTTGATCAAACCCACAGTCTTGTAGGGGAGGAGAGATGGGAATGAGTGCTGTGATGACTCCGACTGCCTAGTGTATTTTTGCAGTGTAGCCAGACAGCAGAGACTCTTTTTGCCTTTAAAGCCTCCCCCAAGACCCATGAAGTTGGTGTTAGTATTCAACCGTCCGCCAGCCTTCAGCAGCAGCAAGAGAATGCCTGCAGCCTTACTGACAGGTGTCAAGGGGGCAGTGTTGGAGGCAGAGGGGCCCTGGCTTTACCACCGTCCAGATACATGCTAGTTGCCATATTCAAGATCCTCAAATCCAGATAACCCAACCTGTGTATTATGCAAACTGTTTCACGGTTGAAATACTAAAAACAAACATACCTTCGCTTGTAGTGTTTAGCCTTAGTTGGTAGAAATGGAAAGTCCTCATTGGATACAATCCTAGGAACACTTTCCTAGTAGTAAGCGGCAGTGAATAACATGGGACTTAATTCTGAGTAGACCTGCTTAGGATTGCTCCCAATCAGATCAGAACTTCAGTACTAAGAAAGGTGGGTTTAATTTTTCTTTCAACACTTTTTCCCCAGCTGCATATACCATGCTGGAGTGGGGAAAGGAAGAAAGACAGGCACTGCGCTTTTACCAGTCTTGTTTCTCTACTGTAGCTGATTGAAGATGGAGGAGAACAATTTAGGTTGGGAAAAGAACACAAGGGTAGAAGAGTTAAGCCCCCCGTCCTTGCCCATTGCCACAGCCCCAATCCAGCTCAGCAACCCATCCATGGCTGATTTTTAGAGTAAAAAAAACCTCTAGAGATTCAGTCATGGATCTCCAGTGTAATTTTCCCCTCAGACTCTCCTTACCCCTGCCTGAGTTCGAACATCATATTATGCCTCGTCTCAGCAATGCTGACTTTTTGGACTCTGTTCATCTTTCTCTAGGTTGCACACTAAGTAACTAGATCTTCAATCTCTCCTGGATTAAACATACTTAGATAATTTTCCTAAATGAGTGTGCCTGTGGTTCAGTCAACTAGTCTTTGTTATTTAAATGAGCATCTTGACAGAGAAGAATATTTATTTGTGCTGTTTGACTGAAAGAGTAAGTTGAGGGAATGCACTCATGTCTTCCCTGGTGGGTTAAAATTTTAGAAAAATAGTATAAAACTCATCTGTGAAGGCAACAAGGTTTTTCAGTGGTGAAAATCACTGTCTTTGCAGTATAATTTTTGCTGCCTGGATGTTGTGTAGGTCTGTCTGAGGCACATCTTGCAAGGAATTTCTAAAATGAAAATGTGAGATTACATGTCTGTGTGGAGGTTGTGCTGACTGATTGCAGACCTATGGAGACCACTTGTGATTACTCAGTGGTTAGATTTATTTTCTTGTCTTTCCAGGACAGGATCACAGCACTGAAAATAAGTTCTGTTTCTAAGTGCTGCTGAATCCTGGATAAAATTAAACCTTACATTACCCAGCAGTATCACTGAATATTATACATTTAAACCAATAGGTAATACTCATGCATTCATCTCTGTACCTGGGTGTCTCATAGCGCTAACTCTAGAGAGGGCAGGTGGATTGACTTAAAAAAATATGGGCCCAATTTCAGCAAAGAGCGATAAGAATTAGAAAAGAAGTCCTTCTTTTCTAAACAATGTCCCTTTTGCAAAACATGTTTTGATATTAGGGACTATTACCAACCAAACCGGCTCATGTATTCAGTTGTTATTCACTTGTAATTCCTTTCCTGAACTTCCAAATTAATACCATTAACTTCAGAGTGACTGCTCTGAAACAATCTGCAAGTAACTACCAAAGGCCTAGTTTACCTACATTTCAGAAGCTGCAGCTGTTTCAAAAGAGAATTAGTTCATGAATTGTGCCTCATCTCCCATCTGTTAATGGAGAAAATGGTGCCAGCCCCTGTTTGTCACAGGCAACAAGGTACTTTCTGAACACATACTAAGTAATCTTCTAATTGCTATAGACACATTAGGGCAACCCCTTTAATTCCACAGTGTGCATGAGAGTCTAATGCTATCGCTTCTACTAGTCCTGTGCAAAGGGTCATATATCATTTGCAAGTAGAAAGAAATTAGCAAGAGCCACATTTAATTCATTGTTAAGTAGTGGGTTACACCCCATGGATTGTCTGCTGACAGAAGAGGGAAAAGTAGCACTCTTGACCACTTTTCCTTGTCCCTGCAGTCCCTCAGCCTTCATGGTTTTTTGTCTGTGAGGCTCCTCTGATGCCCCAAAATGCATTTGTGGGTATCATAGACAGTTTCTAGGAGAACCGGAAAGCAGAGAAAGACCCACTTCCACCAGCAGAACAACCCATTATTTTTAATCATCCTAATCTTCATTGTAATAGTCCTGCAAAGTGTGCTTTTCTACTTCCTTCTTGCCACCCGTTTTGGTGGTTATTGCCAGTCTTAGCCTACGGCTCTAGATGTCAGAGGTTTTTAATGGCAGCACCTGTTTCATTGGCAAGTTTACTAGCAGTTGCATCGGCTTCTTGGCAACTATCTCTGACTCCGTTAAGGGTCAAAGGTTAAATTGCTGGCTGGTTATCTTTTGCTCCTCAGTGCTTTTAGCTTTATCTGTAAATTTATTTGCTCTGTCTATTAATAGGGAGTGTCTTAAGAGTGAATGCACAGAACAGTTTGATTCTTTTTTTTTTAATAAACATGGACTCAGTAGGTTTTTTCCACACACAGCTGGCCATCCAGAAGTATGTAGCTGTGAAGTCTACATCTTATAATTGTTTTCTTTTTTTGCAATAAGAACACAGGACCCAAAATTCAAAACTATGTAACATTTTCTTGAGAAGCAGCATCTGGCTGTTTGGCAGAGTTCTCAGTCAGTTGTTGTGTTTGTGGCTTTGGATCCTCCTCAGAAGCCATCATGTGGCTGGGGTTTCTTTAGGACTGTCTGGACTGCATTCTTGTCTGCTCAGAGCTTTTCCTGGACTTGGATTCTTAGGTCCAGAATGTGTGCACGGAAAATCAGTGGTTCCAAATCTCCTGTTACAGCATCATGTATGAAAAGATCACATTCAAATTTTAGACTCAAATCAAATGTTCCCCAAATTTACCAAGCTTTTAAAGCCTACAGTGGTGGATAGATTATACTGTAAGTGCAGTTGAAACAAATGCAGCCATTTCATTTTTGGGAGCTGTTGTTTGTTTTCTGTTCACATAGCTCAAAACAATAAGTAAAAGTCACCTTGTCATAATTTCTGCATGCCCAGAATAAAGTTCTGTGAAAATCCAGATCTGTATTCTGATGACTTGCCCACACTGGTTAGAAGCACAGTATTAATTTAAACATCCTCCAAATTCAATAATGTAGGGGGCATTTTACAACCTCTGCAAATCCAGTGTTCACCTGCATACCATATAGTAAGGCTGATTTAATTCTGGCTTTAGCATGACATGAAAAACCCTGTAAACTGAATAACTTTTTATAAATGGGAATAAGTTTATTTAATCATTTCCCCAAACTAGTTTTCCCTAGATTAGCCATTACTGTTTTTACCTTGTGTACATTTGGGATCTTCATAGAAGAGTCACAAATCTATTGCTGCCCTTACATACACAGCTCACACATTTGACACAGTGGAGTCAAGTCTACTCATTTTTAGGCCACAAGACATCAGTACCATGACTTCTCCTTGCTTTTACAATGGGAAGGGAGAAACTACCATAGTGAAAGTTGTAACAAGTCATATCTTCAGAATGTTCCATTTTGCTACCTTAACTTTTCTTATATGAAAATAATGGGCATAGTTCAAAAGAGTTAGGCACATCTCAGTGGCTTTAGTATGTTCAGGTACACTTGATTAGGCCAAATGCTGGCCCCTGCACTTGCCCATTGTTAAAGGCGTGACTCGCAGTTTTGGTGGAACAATCTACAGGGTCATGATTTTCACAGACTTTTGCCACGGTTTCTTGTTCATCAGTGAACACTTCAGTGTATTGGTGGAAATTTGCAGATTAGATTGTGACTCATATGTCAGTTGAGAGAATTTGCAGTAATAGCAAAAGAGGTTTTGTTGATGCATGCTTAATTACTACCAGAATTGGGGACAGGGGATTGATATTGTTTGGAGGATATCTTTGTGAATCAGTCCATGGTAGCTTTTCACTCAATTCATTGTCTTAATATCACTTTGGAAATGCTTAGTCGAGAGACAATGTTCCAGGGATGAACATTACCAGTAGTATGCTTAGTCGAGAGACAATGTTCCAGGGACTGGAACACTGGGGGAGGAGCACTGGGGGAGGAGATCTGAAGAGAAGGCATCAGGGATTACATGAGGGGAACAGTGGTGGTGGGGGGACCCTTACAGTGTATCAAGAAATAATTGTCCCTGGTGGCAAATTTCACAGTGCCTCAGAAATATGGAGTATGCATTAAAGTTCAGTTTTTGTGGAGTCACAGTGGTAAACCTTGAATTTTTCCCAGTTCAGTGGGAGGAAAAGCAGTGGAAATTCTACATTCTACAATAATTCCCACATGTTTGAATTGGCAGCAAGATATTCTTTAAAATAAGCATTTAATCTGTATCCATTCAGTACATAAACAAATTAGTGTACAGATTGCAATCACCACACTACAGCTAATTGACAAAGTCTGCCTACATCAATAAAATTAAAAATGATCTCATCATAGATTACTCATGTTTTGTAAATGTCATAATAAATACAAATAGGGTCTGAAATCCAAAGAAGCCCAACCACATACAGAAGACCCATCAGTTCACCCATAG